CTACACACTTCTATATTTATTGAATGTATGGGTTGAGTAGAAATGAAGGGAAGGAAGAGAAGATTTTATAGATGAGAAATTAAAAATACAATCATACCACCTATATATACGCCGGTTGAAGTCTCTCTCTCTCTCTCTCTTTCTCTTATTCTCTTTCTATTTATTTATTTTGAAAAATCATATATATGTACAGGTAGTTGTGATTGTGACTCACATCTTCTATTGGTTTTACATTCAAGAACGGCTTAAACGTCCTCTATGGGTAGGGGATAGACTTCTCATCCATTTTTTTTTTAAATGGGCAAACATGTTTTTTTTTTATGAAAATGGGGTTATAAGTCATGAAAGACACAATGCACATTGCCACTAGGATATGTCCCAAAAGTCAATAGAAGATTATTCAAAGACTTTTTATATTTTGAAATAAATGCTGACTTTTGATAATTTTCACAAGCTTTTTAGAACACATGTGTGTCTTTGAATATGATGGACCAATAAAATCTATATTGTAAGATTTTTGCAGTTTTTTTAATGAGAAATGACCCCCCACATGTCTCAGAATGAAAAAATTTAATGGCACTACTTACCTCATTATCGGGAATGTATCTTTAAAATATTTGATCAGGATAATATTTGAATAAGTAAGGGTTATCCCAATAAAAGTTATTCACTTCGTTCAAAAACTTTCCTTTGTCTTCAGTACTTTAGTAAGCTAGCAAAAATCCTGAAGTAAGAAAATTGATATTTTTAGCAAACCAAGGTATTGAACTAAGAGAAAGTAAAGATTTGTGAGGAAAGTAATCTTTGATTAATGTGATGTTGGATGTCGAATCTTTTTTCAATCTTGATAAAAGATCCGTATCAACATTTTCGATGCCTTTATTATCCTCGATTTCTTTTTGAGAATAAATCATTTGCAAATCTATATATTTATCAAATTAAAAGAAAGTGCTAAGTATTTATTGTACCAAGTGTTATACAACACAAATCAAGATTAACCATTTAACAAGCAAAGTATTAAAAGTGAACAAGATAACAAATACAAAACATGTTACTATCAAACATTAAGGTCCATATTGACTTTATACCATACTTATTCTTACACCATTAGTGTAACTTTTTCACCTTAACATAATAAACTTAACTAAACATAATAAAAGAGAAATATAAATAACTAAGATAAGAACATAAATAAGATAAAGAACATAAATAAGATAAAGGTTAATTAAATAAAGAAAAATAAATGAGAAGTATAAACAAGAGATTAACATAAGCAAAACTTAAGCATTACAATAAAAAAAGAGTAAGAACATGATCTTAGCTTCCTAACAAATTTTTTTTTTGAGCTTATTTAGACTTCTAGAACTCAAGATATGGGTTGGACACTGAACAATGTCTAGGCTGCAAGATAAATTTGGACTTCTCCATTGATGCTAAGATTTGAACTTCCAAACAACAAAATTGAGTCTTGCATTCCCATGAATGTTTTAAGCCTATGTCTTAACTTTCTATCCATATAGAGCAGACCCACATTTAAGTTTTATAGCTCCAGATATGACCTAATGACTGAACAATGCTCCAGTTTGAATTGAACCAACATCTCTTTTCTGAGCTTCACATTTTTTTTGTCTTCTTAATTTCAGTAGTTGAACTCATCAATCAATCCTTTGATTTATGTGATAGACCTGCATTTAAGATGATCATTTACCATAAATTAAAGGTATCTTATAGTATTAGACTTATTATTATAAAACATGTTTTAGTTAAGGAGTTATTGATACTTCAATGACTAAATAGTGTTCTAGTTTGAAGTAAACCAACATCTCTTTTCTATGCTTCACCCTCTCTTTGTCTTCTCAATTTTAGTAGTTGAACTCATCAATCAATCCTTTGATTTATGTGATATGCCTGCATTTAAGATGATCATTTACCATAAATTAAAGGTATCTTATAGTATCAGACTTATTATTATAAAACATGTTTTAGTTAAGGAGTTATTGATACTTCAAGTGCAAAATACTTATATAAAACCTTGATAAAAATACACTTTTAAGTACTAATTACTAATACTAGTGATTCAAAATCCACTAGTGGATATGTCTTCATACTCAATGGAGCAATTGTATCTTAGAAGTCTTATAAGCAAACATTCATCACAAGATCTATGATGAAATCAAAGTTTATTACTCTTGATAAAACTATAAAGAAAGTCACGTGGTTTTGAAATTTCTTAGATGATATTCCATGTTGGCCGAAAACAACACCATTAATTTATACCTCAATTAGCAATTGAGATGATATAAAATAATATAAAGGTAATTTTATATATATTATAGACATACTTGCTCTTGAATGAATATTTTTATTGACTATATAAAGTCAAATAGTTTTAAAGCATTTAAAGATGAAAAAGTTTTATTATGGTAAACCCTACCTAGTTGACTGGAGATTCTAAGATCTAAGTTTAAAGAAAAAATAAGTTATAAAACATTCTTAATAGTACTAAAAAATAACTATTCTATGTCTATTCCTGTGATGACAAAGGTGTAAGTTGTAGTGTGATGAGGGTGAGTTATGCTTTTAATAATCTCATATCTTGGTATACCAAGTGGAATATAATAGAATATGTCTAGTAAAGGATTATTTATATGAAAGAAAAATATGGTCATTTTTTTAAGAATTATAAAAGGCTAAAATTCTTTAAAACACTCATAAAATGATGAGTTGTTTTGGGCCTAAAAAAACACAATTATGAGAAAAAAAATTGCATAAAATGATGAGTTGTTTTGGGCCTAAAGAAACACAATTATGAGAAAAAAAAATTATATAAGTATTATTATCTTGATTTATGTAAAAAAATTGAATAATTTAAGATCTTATATTTATTAATTAGTCGAATAAATCTGACAATACATCATTGGATAAGACTAGAGCTAAAAACTTTTTATTATGATATAGTGATCTATTGATTTAATTTGTCTCTACAATTCAATATGTATTCCTACATTGTTCAATCAATTTTCATTCATGTAGAAAACTTTTGAAGACGTTGAGTTTTAAACATGGTTTTTAGGTACATTTAAGGTCTAATTAAAAGTGGAATCTATCAATTTTTTCTGTTAAAACTTTGTTAGTAAATATTATTCAACATGAATACTATAACATGGTTTTTAGGTACATTTAAGGTCTAATTAAAAGTGGAATCTATCAATTTTTTCTGTTAAAACTTTGTTAGTAAATATTATTCAACATGAATACTATAACATGGTTTTTAGGTACATTTAAGGTCTAATTAAAAGTGGAATCTATCAATTTTTTCTGTTAAAACTTTGTTAGTAAATATTATTCAACATGAATACTATAACATGAAATATTGAAATAACTAAAATCAATTATAAGTGAATAAAAAATTAATTTAAAAAACTTTTGATAGAGTTGACAAATACCAAAATTCAACCTTCAAACTTTATTTTACGTTGAAAAATTAAAATTCTTCTCTTTCAAAGTCTATATACATGTTTATATGGTCTGTGTCCACATTGAAAAAAGAAAAAATTATTCTTCTCTTTAAAGGTCTCTATATAGAGGCTTTTATTGGTTTATGAAATATAAACAAAAAGAAAGAATTATTTATCCTCCTTTACTTTTAATTTTTGCTTTTATTCCAGTTTTTTGTGTGAGAAAAGGAGTAGGCTTTCTTAAGAACATCAACACAGTAGCGTGATTGTTGAATATGCGAGGAAATTTGCATCTACCACTTGCACTAATTGGCGTGTAAATTTGCTTTCAAGTACAAATGGTATAGCTCTCAAAATAATATTGTTATGTCATATAATATAAGCTTTAACAAGTAAGTGTGATTTAATTTATTTAAACATTTAAACTCATTGCAATATAAAATATTAATTATTTAATGTATTTAATTAATATCATTATTTTTTATTTGATTTTTTTAAATATATTTTTAACATAATTCATTATAAATTCATCTAAACAATACTTAACTAATACCTTAAGATACGTCTTATCTTTTTCCCAACTTTCTATGACCTGTTGCCATTTTAACTGATCATTACTTGAAGGTTTATAAAGGAAAAGAAATAAATAAATAAAATTCATGATTCCTGCAGCGCTGCCCTACAGGTAAACACTATACCACTACACGTGCATAATCAAAACTTATTTTTAACATAACAAGTATGTAAGATTTGCTAATATTTATAACAAAAAAATATTTCAAATTATATAAGGATTATTTTAACTTAATTCTGTTAATTTTACTAGATTTAAAATAATCAATAAAAAAATAATTTAATTTAAAATAAATATTTAAAATACTATTTTTTATTTATTAATATTGAAATGGTAATATATTGAATGAAGTTGGATTAACTTAAATTAACATGCATACTTATTTGTATTTTAATAAATTTAATATTAAAATATAAAATTAATACAAAAATTATTTAAGTCAACTCAGATTAGTTTCTAATAAAAAATAAATAAAATAAATTATGAATCTTAATTTTAAATTAGTTTGATGTTATAAAATTAAATTTTAAAAAAATTAATTAAAAAACAACAAAAAATCAATTTAAAGATAAAATTAAAAAAACTCAAATTAATTAAATTAATTTATCAAATTTATATTATAAAATAATTAATTAAATTAATTTATCAAATTTATAGTCCAGAAGATAAAACTACTTAAATGATCTTGTAAAAAATAAATTAAAAAAATTATAAGTTTAAATTTTTTATATTAAAAAATAAAATAAAAAATAAATTAAAAAATTTATAAGTTTAAACTTTTTCTATTAAAAAATAAAATAAAATAGAAATTAAAGAAAACAAACCACCATCCCAATAAATAAATGATTTGTGAGGAGAAATACATCAAAATCTCTCCACATTGTTTTTTTAAATTGTTAATTTGTTGGTGGGTTTCGCTCTTGCTGCAATTAGAGATGACAGAGGGTCTCCATTTCGAGATCGACAACTCGGAAACAAGAACACAACTCATCAATTAAAGAATAAAATACAGGCAAAATAAAGAGCCCTTCGATAATGATAGAAGTGTCAATACACATGCATAATTGCACGCTACGAGGCTCTTCCAATCCAACTGAACTCCCCCCATGTGCCAAACAAACCTTCAAGAGGCAGCTGTATTACCACTTAATAACACTATAATACATCACCTTAGCACAGACCAATCCTTCTAGCATCCCAAACTCCTTCCTCTTGCAACATTGCAATGAGAGCTGCTAATATATATGTTTTTTTTTAGCTTCCCACATGGCATCCCTCAAACACCTAGCAGGTAACAGAGCACGAGACAGGTAAAATATTATCAGCTCTAGGTTGTAGATCTGCAGCATTTTCCAGGCGCTCCCAAGTCAATCTCCGCTTCTCAGCTTCCACACTTGACAAAGAGTCTTGCTCCTCCAGCTTACGTTGGCAGGCTAGCACTAGTTCTTCATCCATCTCACAGAACATCTTCCTAATATGCTGTGTCTGAATAAGCACTGATTGGTTCCAGTGATTCAGGGTGTTCTGCTCAAGAGCTGAGAAGACAAGAGGCACAATAACCTGACGGTTATGTTCAATAAGTTTAAGGATCCGTTCATTGTTCCATAGCAAGTGAGCTCGTTCAGCCACCTGGAAAGGTGAAAGCAAGCTCATTATTGTTCTCTGGACACAAATACATAACATAACATGTCTTAAGAACATCTTCACGGATTTGAAAATTCCTCATCGAGTATAGGATAGGACAATGGCTAATGTCCGAGAAAATGCCAATGACTAGGAATTCATCCCATTGCCGTAATGAAAATAACCTATTACCAGTTATAGTACAGAAAAATCTCAATGTTCCCAAACAGTGTTATTTTTATCTTTGACGCAGCAATTTTTCTAGCTATCTCTGATTTAGCACCATTCCTTTTGCAATTTCCACATAAAAACATACAAAAAACAATGAATAATTACAGATTTGATGCATGAATAGAAACTGTAAAAAATCATTCACATTTTAAACTTGGAGGCGTTTTCAATAAGCTGTACGGGATAATGTTCTCCTTTATCCTGTTGAAACAAGCAAGACTTGTTAAGTATCAACTACTGGGATAACCAGTCATTTATCTTCAAATTATTATATAATGGAACTATTATCCCACACTATCAGAGAGCCTGTCTTACCATTTTAGTAAAAGGTGTAAGTGGCAGAGCTTTAAAGATCTTTCTGATTACAGATACAATTATCCAACTGACACAGAAGCAAGAAGTGACAAGGCAAATGCAGAAACAAAAAGAAACAATTATTTGAAAACTCCATACATTGGATCAATCAAAGTACATGATTTTGCATTAAGGAATTGAAAAACCACTAAATAGGAAATATAAATAGATTTGTAATAAACTACTCAAATTAGTAAAATTCTTTAGAAATAATATAAGCCATGAATAATTAACTAAATAATGAATGTTAATCCTACAATCCCTTCCTCATTTTCCATTGTGCTAAAGAGCGTGGACGTTTGAGTCCTTTTCAACGCATAATATTGAGAATGTTCATTGAATGAACAATTTAATAAGGTCATCAGTTTGAAGATTTATCACTACAAAATTTGTACTTCTATGATGGGGGCCTGGGCACAATGCCCATCGGTTGAATGGATTTCATAAGCTTCTTTACCTAAAGCAAGTTATCAAGAATGCAGTTCTACACTATTGAGAATAGGAGGCTAAGAAACAAATAGTATCACATGAAAAATTGTGAAAGATTTAAAGATTGAGTCAAAAGATTTAACAAACACGACTCATTTAAAGAGGTCTTTACCTGATAATGAGAGCTATTGAGGCAGCGTCTTATTCGCCGAAATAGGGGGACCATGATCTTTTGAAACTCATCCATACCAGTCATCTCTAATATTTCTTCTAGCTCACTTATAAACATCAATTCCTTCTGGCTGTTAGTCACAGGCCAATACTTCAACAGTCCCTTAATCACAGGACTAGTCAACCTTGGATCCTTTTCTATAAACTGTACAACACAATAAGATAGTTGCTGGTGATAAATACCCACTGATTTTGGTTTGTGCAGAGGAATCAAAGCCCTCCAGAGAAAAATTTTGTGTTCCTCTTTCAGTGGCAATGCAAACCCGCTAATAACACTCCCAAAAATTTCCAACAGCTCAGCAATTCCATTATGACGTTCAGTTTCAAAGACAAAATGATAGATGATATTGCTAACTGCTTTTCGGATAAAGGGCCGGTGCACCATGAACTTTCCATAAATTCTATGCAGAATGGTTTTCAAACAGTCTCTTTCTCTTGGGTCCACAGAATCAAAAAGCTCAAGTAATCTCAATATGAAAGCATGATCAACATGCTTCTTAGCAGCCTTGGCATCAACAGAACTAACAAACCTAAGGAGTAGATCATACACACTTTGCAAATGTGACCAAGCAGGATCAAACATTGGTTCTTCATCTTCTGTTTCCCCACCTGTGTTAACAGTACGATACTTGGGTGGAAAAACCCTAAACAGGTTATTTGCACACATTTTACAAATTGCAGCAATTGCGGGTTCAGTAAACTTAGCAGATCCGGATGAAACAAAATCAACAAGATCTATAAGCACTTGATGTTTAAGATCTTGCTGAACAGCATTTTTATCTGGATCACTGCAGTCAGAAACCTCGCAACAAAGGTTTAATTTACTGACAAAAAGGTTTTGCTTCTGCAGGTTTGAGACATCTTTGAAGGATAGATGGGGATCCACTGCCTCCATTCCAGCCATTATGCTTGCAGGAAATACTGCTGAAGATACCCGTTTAACAACATTCAACCGACTAGAAAAAGAATTCCCACCATTTGTAGATGGGCCCGAGCAGGTAGAATCATTGCCACAATCAATCCCAGTAGAATCCAAAGGATCAGATTTGGGGAACTTGCGGGGAATTTTGCTAAGGATTTGCTTGAGCATGGCAGTAATACAACAATTTTCAGCACACGAAACCCTGGATTGCAGTGAAAAGCAATGTATTAGAATATAACAAAGATGAAGATAAAAAAAGGGGGGAACGGGCAAGGATCGGCTCTTTGCTTCTTAAATCAGCTAGGAAATAATCCACAAGAAATGATTATATGTAATAACAAGCCTTTAAACAAATACACCTAAAAATCTTTACACCTCCAAAACTATTATAAGTAATAAATTAATCTATAAAGAAAATTTTCATCACTTGAATTGCAACTAAAAAACCCTTAAGAAAGAAATTCCAGATCAAATTTGATACCAAAGAAGAAAAACAAAAAAACGTATAACTTTCATAACCACCAAATATAATCCAGTTTGAAGGAGAAGTAAACTAAAATCAGGGATTATGCAGAATTTTTCCTATTATTTGGTATTTCTAAATTGGGTTACTACTGTTCTTAATTTTCACTGAAGTGTAAGGACCTTCTTAGGGTTTGGTGAGCATTTTGTTGCTTTTATAGACGGGAAAAGAGGGTAGGAGAGCCTATCCCCATTGTTATATTTCTCCAAGAACTACACTACGATTGATGCCAAAGACATTTTTATTTTTGGTGCAAAGGAGAGGAGAGGAGAGGTTCAAACACGAGCTGTTTGGGAGAGGGCCACAACTCATCATTATGCCAAAGACATTCCAAGTAGAAATTGAAATTGGATATATTAACAATTCTGTTTTATTTGAAGCACAAAATTATAGGTGCAGTATTGATAAATTGCATACCTAACAAATTGAAAATACTATTGTGTGATACTATTTCGTTAGAAACATAGACCACATACAACATCTCCACATGGCTCATCTTTTCCAAATATTTCATATCCAGCTCTGTGAACTATCATAGAACCATAGATGATGAGATCCCTCCCACCACCATTACAAAATTTCCCTATTACTTACAATTAATATTTAGCTTCAGCATCAAAGCTGACAACCCCAAAATTGTCCCAGTCAACTACATTAATTTATGAGCATGCTTTTTTACAGTATCGTCATTCAGAAAGCCACTGCAAAAACCTAAGTAAGAAGAAAAAAAGTATACAGATCAAACCTGCTAACAATCATTTTGACACCAGAAACACTAATGGGGGAGCTCACCAAACTAGTGATCACAACAAGGGACATTTACATAGCAAACATTCTATTAAAGAGAAACAAGAAACAAAGAAAGTAGCAAATCAGTCCACGGCAGAAAATCAGAGAATATATAAAGTCATAGATCTGGGAAAATTATGATAACAAGATAAGTGAATGATCAATGATCTACCCGTAGCTCAGATCTTCATTGTAACCCTTTTTCATATAAATAATAAAAAAAAAGAACTTTATATAGCTACCATTAAATATAGTGTAGCATTTTCATATTCAACCAAAAGAATTTTGAGCTTTAGGCAGTAGAGAGAAAGAAGAGAACCTGGAAATGAGCGAGACTTGGAGAGAGGAGAGATGTTTCAGTAAGCAAAGAAATGAAAATGTTGCTATAAGAGAGAGAGAGAGAGATTTACTATTAACAGCTTTTTTAAAGAGGGGAGAAAGCAAACTACTTTTTAGTGAATGGGGAGGAGAGAAATTTTTTTATTATGAGTCATTGAGATCTTCATGAATTATGAAAGAAAGAAGGAGGAAAAGAAAAAACCTCCTCGATTGAAGAGAATAAGAGGAGTGGCGTTTTCGGTGCTTTGCAAGTACCTGTGCGCCAGTCACCACCCCCACACAGTACTGCAAAATCTTTTCATTAATCTACCACTGCTACTCTGATCGTAGTTTAAGGAAAAAAGAGAAATAAAAAGAAAAGAAAACAAATGAATGTCCAGGCTTGGCTGGTGCGGGGTCCCACTGTTTGTCCCAATAATTTACAGAATATTAATCATGTAATATGGGACTACTATGTTTCCTGTCTTCTTTTCTTTTTGGAAATTTAGGAAATTCACTCACTACCTTAACCTGTTGAATTTTAACCTGGCACGTTCAATAGTCAGATGATGATGGTGTCCGATTTTAATTTGTCATGTCCAATAGTCACGTGATTTTTGTCTTATGACGACATGCATGGAGATAGCATGTTTTTCTTTTCTTTTCTCATGGAGAGGGAGGGCCGACGAGGCCTTGAGTTTCATCTGGGTCGAACTTCAATCCGCTGATGGGCTCCAATTTCTTATCTTTCTTGTTACCGTACTTGTCAACTATGGCTAAAGTCATTATTTTTGTAAAACTTAATTCAAATAAGTGGAGGGACGTTTGAGAGTAGAATAATGGTGGTAAATTTTATATATTTAATTTTTTCTTAATTTATTAAAAATTTATTAAGTATCGTAAAACTTGTAATAATTACAAAATTTTTTAAAATATCTCAATTCTATAAATTTCTTAAGGTATTTCAAACAATAGCTAAAACAATTATCACCTTTCAGTAAGGTATTTCAAACAATAGCTAAAATAATTATCACCTTTCAATTTCAAATTGAATTTTAAATCATGCAGATGTTGGTTAAACATATACAAGCATTACATGTAGAATAAAATACTTAACAACTTAATTTAATAATTCAATCGAAAAAATTATTCACATATTCATAGTAAGGTTACATAAAACATTTCAGAATAAAAGTCTACTCCCTAGTTTAATTAAAAAGAAACAAACTTGATATAATAAACATCACTTAAAAGCAGAGATTAACAATATAATAGATAGGTGTCCTCCAAATCTTCTTTATTTTTGGTCCCTCTTTTGTGCCACCTCTTCCTTATCTTTTAGTCTATTTTAGGGTTTTTCTATATATGTCCCCTTTCTTGCAGACCCCTCTTTTTTTATTTTATATTATGATCTTTTTACCCCTGTTAGAATGAAAATAATTTTTTTTTTATTTGAATTCCTTCTTACCCAAACATTATGGCCAGATTCGAGGCAGGAAACATGTGAATTCAAATATTTATATTTCTGAAGAAATTGTAGAAAATTAAATATTTTTTTCAACAACACTGTTCTTGCAATTTTTTGACCTCTGAGACTTGAGATAAGGGCCGTAAACCGATACAATATTTGGAGTGCAGAAAATTCAGGTCTGATTTAATCCTTATTTTTTTACTAGCTTTTTGGGCTTTGAAATAGCAAAACTGAGTTATATACCCTTCATATATTTTGTAGACCTTCATCTTAGATATTTGAAAGTGGTGACGAACATCTAGAACTGAGTTGTATAGCTTCCTTTGTAGCACACAATAAATCAATGTTCAGTTTATTATTGAATTTTATCTACTCAATAACCTAGTATCTAAAAATATATTAATTTCCCACAAGGTCAATATTTCAAAAAAAAATTCAAAATTCTAATTATCTTGTGCAACACATCTAAAATATTTCAAAATCAAGCATGAATAGTGAAAAATATACATCTTAAAAATTCCCTTATAAAATACTGCAAACTTGAATGTTTGCTTGTTCTAAAGTAAAAAGAAAACCATGAAAGCAGAGGGCTAAAAGCTCATGATAAGTTCAACTTTCACATTTAAACAACTTCCTCGTGCAATATTCACTTCTTGATTTAGCTCATAGACAAAATTAGATAATGAAAAACTAAGCATTCCTACTCTCTCTGAAGACCGGTGTACAAACTTCTAACTCATCTATGTGTTTCATGTGTTTAGCATCCTTAAACCATGCATGGTTATTCAACCATTATCTTTTTTCACTCATACAAACAAGGTAGCCAACTTTAAGAGCAACAACACACTTTCACTTGTCTTTTGACCCAGATACAAATATTTATGATGAATGCACTCGGTTACTTAACAAATCATAAACTTAAAATGTATTTGCATGCTTATATTTTAAGCTATCCTTTGACATAAAAATAAATATTTGTGATGAATACTCCTAGTTACTAAGCAACTCAAAATATTGGAGTAGATACACATCATACACTTATTCATTCACTTTCATACTCATTATCACTTCTTGTTTTAATATTTTTCTCAAAGGGCAAGAACAAGAAAGAAATAATACACTTATCTTTTATGCATAACTACACAATTCGCATGACTTTACTAGAAAAGTGTACTTCAATAATTCCAAAGAAAATAATTATGCTTAATCCAACTTTATAAGATATTACCTACTCTAAGCCAAAGAATATCATGAATACATTATGAAGCATCTAAAAATGTCAAAGTTGACTTTAAATGCAAATCACTTTTCAACATTTGGTTTCATAGTCCTAGCATGCAGTGTTTTTCATAGTCAAAGCATGCAATGTCTCCCCCAAACTAAAATATCACATTATCCTCAATGGAAAAACAAAGAATAGAAAGACTTACGAATACTTTCTTTTGACTGTATGGGTTTGAGTTTGTCATTGTTCCTAGTTATTTATTTGTATGATCCATTCCTGCACATCTCAATGAAACAAATAAGGTTTTTTTATTTTAGGTTGTCTCCTAATCAGCTCTTGGTTATAGTCATTAGCTTGACTTTTCCATTTTGCTAAGATGAAACGAGAGGGATATTATCCCTTTTTCCAATTGACTCCCCATTCCTATAATGCTTTAGACGCTGCCCATTTGTTGTGCATGTTCTTTTTTTTATTTTAGGTTGTCTCCTAATCAGCTCTTGGTTATAGTCATTAGCTTGACTTTTCCATTTTGCTAAGATGAAACGAGAGGGATATTATCCCTTTTTCCAATTGACTCCCCATTCCTATAATGCTTTAGACGCTACCCATTTGTTGTGCATGTGCATGTTCCCTTTTTATCATGAGTGACCTCTATTTCTCCATAAGAAAATACCTTCACAACTATAAATAGTCCTCACCACCATGATTTAAGCTTACTAGGAAACAAATAGAGTCGTGAGTTGAAGAGTGATACCTATTCACCAGGGATAAACTCATTGCATACAATGTGTTTGTCATGCCATTCCTTGGTTCTTTCCTTGTATATCTTGGCATTTTCATAAGGCTCATTGTGAAATTCATCCATCTCATTAAGTTGCAAGATTCTTTTCTCACCTACAACCTGCATATCCATGTTCAGTTTTTTCATTGCCCAATATGCTTTATGCTCTAATTCAATAGGATGATATCATGTTATTCCAAACACTAATCGATACGGAGACATTCCCAATGGTGTTTTGAATGCTGTCTGATATGCCCACAATACATCATTTAGCTTTCTTACCTTTTCAAAAATTACTTACTGTTTTCTCTAAAATTTGCTTCACCTCTTTATTTGATATCTTTGTTTGGTCATTTGTCTAAGGATGATAAGCCAATACTTTTTAATATCTGACTCTAACTTAGATAACAGTGCTTCAAACTGTTTGTTGCAAAAATGAGTTTCTCCATCACTGATGATGGCTCTAGGCGTACCAAATCTGGTAAGGATGTTTTTTCGTAGAAAATTAAGTACCACATTGCCATCATTTAGAGGCGTTGTAATTGCCTATATCCACTTTGATACATAATCCACTACTGAGAGAATGTATTTGTTGTTGAAGGATGAAGGAAAAGGTCCCATGAAATCGATGCCCCAAACATGAAATAATTTAACTTCTAGGATATTCTGTAATGGCATTTCATTTCATTTCATTGAGATATATTCCCAATATGCTAACATCTATCACAAGTAGTAACAAAAGCATAGTCATCTTTAAATATAGTGGCAAAAAAAAAAACAGACTGCAGAACTTTGGTTATAATGCGTTGCTCTTTAAAGTGCCCCCATATTCAAGTGTGTGGCAGTGCTTTGGTATATTTGTCATTTTCTCTTTTGGAACGCAACTCCTGATGACTCGCAATGCTGATAGAGTATCAACTTTTTCCATAAGTAGTGTTTGACTTTAGTAAGAAATTTTTTCTTTTGTTAGTAAGAAAAATCTAGCGGGATGATCTTACCTGCAAGAAAGTTGACATAATTTGCAGCAGACTGCATAGTGGTTTGGATATTTTAGAGAAGCCTTTGATGAACCTTTTATAAAATCCCGCATGACCAAGGAAACTTCCTAACACCTTTTACTATAGTTGGCGGCATAAGCTTGCCTATTGCTTTAATTTTAGCTTTGTCTACCTCTATTTCTTTTTTTGAAATCCGGTGCCCCAACACTATACCTTCCTTTTCCATAAAGTGACATTTTCCCCAATTCAATATCAAGTATATCTTTTCACAACGCTCTAAAACCAACATTAACTTTACAAAGCAGTCATCGAAAGAAGTTTCAAATACAGAAAAGTCATCCATGAAGACCTCAATGATCTGCTACACCATATCTGAAAAGATAGCCATCATGTACCTCTAAAAGGTAGTTAGTGCATTACACAACCCAAAAGGCATTCTTCTGAAAGCAAAAGTACTATAAAGGCAGGTAAAAGTGGTATTTTCTTGGTCCTTAGGTGCAATGGCTATTTGGTTGTATCCTGAAAAACCATCTAGAAAATAACGGTATTCATGCCCGACTGACCTATTCAGTATCTAATCAATAAATGGTAGGGGGAAGTGATCTTTGTGAGTTGCCTTGTTGAGCTTTCAATAATCGATGCATATTCTCCATCCAATTACCATTCTAGCAG